GAATATGTTATTCTATACATTTATACAATTGATCAGTTAGCAGATATATACTTTCATATCACATATTTCTTAAACAGGATAGCACAATGTAATCTAGTTCCAGATGACTATGAAACAAATAATCAACATATTTAATCACCAATATTAGTGAAATAATATTTATGATATATTTCGAATAATGAAGTAGACAATTTCACAACTATGAGGAGAAATTGAATGAAGGGAATGGTATAGGTTAACAATGAATACATCTTATATATAAGAAGGATTATTTAACATCAAGTTAAAATATTTAATTAGGTTAGAAAATAACGAAAGGTTTTCGTTGTAAACGAATAATTATGTTATATAGTTGAGATCATAAGTCAATTGAAGCCAGACCACCATGGAAAACCTGGGAGCATTAGACGGCCGTTTCGGCCTATTGTTGGGCTCCTCAGAAGTTCGCATCCACGATCCAGCCTAGTGAGATTTAAACCCATGACCTATCAGTCTCGCACGCGAGCGCTTAACCACTAGACCACTGAGCCGGAATTCAGCGGTGTTAATGTAATATTATCTTCCAAAATTATTAACTACTTGTTTGAGTTGTGCTTAAAAGTTAATATTTATTTGGTTTACTTTAGTGAAATACATTCATTTACACATATTTACTACGAAATCAGTTCCAATTACTGTACAGATAGCTTATAGATGATATTAACAAAGATAATTGTAGACAACAGTTTTGATGATAATGTCCCATTACAAAGCGAATAAAATTCATTTGTGCCTAGTTCAAATAGAAAAGGAAACATTCTCAGGCGTCAACATTATTTAGACAAATTGAATTAATTTAAGTGTTCAATTAATATTCACTACATTGAGAGGAAGAAACTCTGCTAATCACATAGCGCTTGATAAATGAGTAAATTAGTTTGTTAGTGTTTGAGTTCTATAAAGTAAATAGTTGTCTTAACACTTATTCATAGCTATTTCATTTAGTTGTTAGACTCCTAAGAACCTATACAAATGAATTGTAAACTGTTTCAACATAAAAAAGACAAAATAGTGGCGATTATCAAAAATGACTAAATAAGTATGATTATAATAAACACAAAAATAATTATGCATATACTACCCTACAAAATCTCTCGACAAAATGCATTGTTAACGGATCTCAATTTTAAAATGTAGTCAGCTTCTATGTTATAGATTGACAAACCCAAAAGAAAACATGTGTCGGATTCTTGCTGATTTCCACTAGTTCTTCATCTAATATCAATACATGGTAAGAAATTAGCTTCACATTAAACAATGATTGCAAACCATTAATATATTCAGGAAAAAATAAATTAGAAACTGAATGTACCAAAGCTGACTACAATTGACCATTTTACATAAACTGAATTCAGTAAACAAACGGAAGTTAACCAGACAATATTTAACTTGTATGTAAACGTCTTAAGGACAATAAAACAACAATAACAACTTTATCTGTAATCAAACAAATGTGTCTTTGTTAATAATTTAAAATTGTCTAACATAGAAACGTTTTACATGATTATTATTACCTTTCTTTAATTGACATCTGTGGGTAACTCTCTTCACTACTGTTTTCTCTTTGAAAAATATTATTATTATTATTTTTATGAATCAATATGTTATTTTCGACTTGTTTATTATTTTTGTGTAAATGAAATGAATAATTAATTGTTCTAGGTAATTTCCCGGAATGTGATTTATTTTGAATTTTTGTATGATTACCCTCTGGTAAACCACTTTCTTCTATTAAATTCACGGACCTAAATAGAATGAGTTGAAAAAAATTTAAGATATCATCTCGTTGGTGAATAAAAAATTTAAAATGAGATAAATTCATGTTTATTCTAAAAAAGTAAACAACTGATTGGCTTGTAGTTAATTTGTAACTTAAGACGTGATTGGTTATTATCAAATGACCTTCACATCAACCAATCATTTGTATGTATATGTATTGTGCAAACTGTTTTAAGCAAATATATGATAGTGATATTTTAAAGCACAATTTAAATACAGTATCCAATAAAGGCTGTTAAATATTACGGTATAATCTGTATCCAAACTACACAATTATCATAGTTACAAAATTTTTGTTGATGTTTATCATGTGATGTTGTTTTTATAGTTGAATATTTCGCGATATGTATGCAGAAAAGGTACAAATAAAGACCATACATTACATCTAATTGCAGTGAATAGTTTAACTTCATTCATAAAGTTATACATATTGTATATTTCATTGAATTTAGAAAATGAGTAGAAGCTATTTTAATGCACTGAAATTCAGAATGACGTTCAGTCATTGTTGGATATAGTGTCCTTGAACTTCAAAACTGAGAATGAAAGATCATCTACTAATTTACGATTTTTTAGTTTGTTTTGAAGTACCCTTATCATATCTAGTCTTTTTCCTTAAATGAATATGTATATTATGGATGATATTTAGGAGCAATAATCGACGTCCATCCAGTCACATACACCTGGATTTGTGACATGTAAATGTCTTCAAAGAGAAATGTTTCACTACCTACATAATAAATAATACGACTGGTTCACGTTACTCATAATTTTTTGATAGATGAATATCTTTGGTAAGAAGGACACGAGTCACATCACTAACCAAGAGTTTTTTGATGGATAGCTCCTAACAGTGGGATTCAGTACACACGTTTCATCCTATTTGAGAATCATTAGGTTAATGTACCTGAATCTCAGCGTTAATGTTCACAACGAAAGTCGGATCGACTAGCTCTTAATTCAAACACTCAGCGAGATATCCACTGTGTTTATACATTAGCTAGATTGTACATCCAGAAACAAAGTCACAAACAGGATGCACATCTTAGACTTCACGACTAGCCACGATTCAAATTTACAAAAACTCGTAATTAAAGACGACTTTTAAAGCAACCCTTTCATGATGCTCAAATACGGAAGGGGAAGGTTGTTTCGACATTCAATAAACTCCTTTTAAGTCCACCAGTATTCTCGTTCGATTTTCATATCATTTCAAGTCAAACAATTTTCTGATTAAAAAGGTTTTTAGAAATGTCATATATACATCGTACAGCATTATGCAAACAGAGATTTCAAAATCAAACAACAGTTCGCTAATAATCTGCCTCATATGAATAAGAAATGACGATTATATTCAATATTGCGAATTTTTCAACGGTTGTTTAAACTTCAGTAGTAGTAGTAGTACTAGTAGTAACTTAAAGAACATTTCAGACTTCTCTTTCGAGTAAACGCAACTTATAATATTATTACTAAAATCGCAAGCAAGTCAGATTCAGTATTTCAATACAATGAAAATGCATGATAGCATTCCTGCAATTGAGGAACACATGGAACTCAAAAAAACTGTCAAGCAGTATCAGAGTCACAGTCTTCAATTCGAACGTGAAGATAGTTATACTAAATTGAGCTGATACTTGGAGAACTACTACAGCTATCATCAAAAATGTACAAGTATTTATAAACAATTGTCTACGTAAGATAGTGAATATCTGTTGACCGGATACCATCAGAAACACCCTACTGTGAGAGAGAAAAAACTAGATTCCAGCTGAAGAGGAAATTAGGAAAAGATACTGGAAGTGAACAGAACATGCATTACGAAAATCATCAAACTGCTTTACGAGGCAAGCCCTAACTTGGAATCGTGAAGGGAAACGGAAAAGAGGGAGGTCAAAGAACACATTGTGCCGGCAAATGAAAGCACATATGAAAAGGATGAATAACAACTAGGAAGAATTGGAAAAGTTTTCCCAGGATAGAGTGGGGTCTTGAGTGCTGGTGAGTGGCCTATTCTCCTCCATGAGGGGTGTCAGACGTAAATAAGTAAGTGCTTTTAAAAGTTACACCTCTTTTTTATGTGTTTTCGCTGAATAAAAGATGATCCAGCTTTGGTGTGCAGGATACTAAGAAATGATTTTGAATTTGATATATCCTCTCTCATACTTCCAGCTGAGTCAGGAAAACGTAGAGAATCTACAAGCCAAGTTAAAACCTCAAGAACCGACAGGTTCACCTTGGTACATAGGAAGTGATGAACTTGCTTTTTTCAACTGACTTATTCACTATAAGAATCGACGTTCACAGCAGCTCACTAGAGAAAGACTAACACAAACTATCAGTCTTTTTTTTCTTAATCAATCAATCCTAAATATATTATTACATAGTTACTTTCATTATCCAATGAAATTTGCTGGATGAAATGACATTCGATTAATCAAATAATGTTCTTGACACATGAAATCCAAATCTATTTTATTTACCTGTTATTATTACCAGTATTATTATTATTATTATTAGTTATGATATGTTGCTTATTTCGTTCTTCTGAATTTCTATACAATAAATCTACAAGATGATTTATTTTAGAAGATTTTTTTGCTGATATTTCTCTGTTCAATTCCGGTGTAAATGGTCCAAAATTATCACTTGCATTATTATGTTTGCAACTATTACTTCGATAGATATTCTTTGAATATTCATTTTTAGCATAGTTATAAATGTTTTTATCCGATGAATAAAGTTCATATTTATCATGATTAGGGTTAAAACAGAATGATTTAGATGAATTTTTCAATCTGTTATTATATTCTTCTTGTTTTTGTTTTCTAGGGAACTCACTATTTGACTTGATCATTGATTCCATATAATTTTGGCATCTATTATGGTTATTGATATAACAATTATTTCGATTGATGGAAGACCTATTATAGAAATCATTGTAATCATCTTTAGACTCGTCTGTAGTCATGCTGAAATTAGTATAAAAATATTTTGATCTATTCAAACAAATAACAGAGGACGGATTTGGTTTGTTATGTCTATTCTCCATTATTTTTTGAATATTTATCCAGAAGAATCGATAATTTGTATTATGTTCTGGAGTCGTAAACACAAAGAAAATTCTTCACATGCACATGCAATAGAAAATAGTTTGAGGGTTATAATACTTATTTTCAAGTTTACTCAATTAATGATGAATTTTCGTTATATCTACCTGCAGAAAATTTCATTTATGATATATTGACATAATGGTAACTTACTTCTTAAACTGGCTTCCGGAGTTGATATTTGTGAATCATACTCATGGAAGCCAAATGAATCTTGTTCATCACCTTTTACACTACCAAATGGTGATTCTAAAATTAAATAGTATAAAAAATTGTGCGTTCAATTCATGTATTGATTTTCAATGATCAATATGAAATATTTTCTAAATAGTCAAATGAGGTTACTTAGGAATCATTAGAAAAACTTTCACCTTGGCTAACAGTGTTGAAATAGATATGTTATGTGGGTTTATAAAAACTTTATGTTTGCTTCAGGATTCAGTATACATAATTGCATACTACTGTTGTGTAGTAAGTAACATATAAAATTATTTAAAATTACTGAGTGATTTGATTATGTAACAATCACAAAAAGTACAGACTTCTGTTCATTTTAAAGTTATGGTCTTCTGGATAATAAACTAATATTACCAGTAGAGGTTCAAGGTGAGAACAAGCTGATTTGAATACATAAGGGGGGCTTGAATTTTCGTATGACTAAGGCTTTGATGAACTATAGTATGCATCCTTTATCACTTCTGTACAGCGCTAAAGAAGCCGAGTTAAAATCAATTTTATGCCCTGTTTGAACTATGTGTTTGACAATGGAGGAAGATAAATGTTTATTATCTGCTCTTATTGGGTCTTTTGATTTTGTTTGTTTAAATTAATGACAAAAAACTATAATCTACTGATATCCAGAGGATAGAACCTTTTCGCTATTAAACTTATAAGAGAAGTATTAAGTATTTCCGTTTGTGATGAAAACGATGAAATGAAATCTTCGTGTTCATAACGTAAGAAAGTGTAATCGGTCAATATTATTTTAGTACAATAAAGTTTAACTACTAACAAGTAGTTTCAAAAGGATAAACAAAATATGCTTCATAGTATATTAGTTTTTTCACTAGTCATATTTTTTGACAATACTATTTCTCTGCGGATTTGTAAGTAGATTGAGACCGTTTCTTAAACGGTAGCTATCAACAACTTTATAAGTTTCAAAATTTCAGTGTTTCGTTATCGAAAGTCTTAAAATATACTATTTTCAGAATAGGGTTGTGGAGTTTGTTTTTATTTATTCATTCAAAATGGTGTACTTTTTAAAATTTATTTATTTACATACGAGATAACAATTTATAATTGGCAAGACACATTATTCTGTAAAATAATGGATATTAAACAAAAAAAATCATCTATTAAGATATCGACTTGTCATGAAATCGGATTGAGAATTCGAGCTAAATTTTCGATACAAACTGATATAATCAAGAAAACCTTCGTAGCTAAGTGATCATTTATCAGCGGTTTCATCGAGATAATTTCACACATAGGAATTTACACAACAAAAGATTCAACACCGTTAAAACATTATGACAAGCATGATACTGCTGAGTCAAGAATAACTGTTTGAAATTTCATATTTCCTTTGGATTTTTGCTTATAATTTGAGCTTATTTATCGCTTTTATCTATCATTGATATAAACATACTTTGCAGATAATTATTTTGGATACAGAATTACATACAATGTATGATATAATGCAGAATTCACATTCGTCAATGGCAAATTCTTAATCATAAGGTCATTACGCTTAGTGTATTTTATGTTACTTATTAAGTGACATTGAATTCGTAATAAATTTGCTTGAAGGTTAAAAATGTGACAATAAAATGGAATGTATGTACTTATAACTATTCAAATTGACTTATTTATAAATAGCATTTTGATAAATTATTAATTATTGTATTATCTTAAGTGTTATGTAAATCAAATATCAGAAAGTTTATGATTTCATGAAAGAGGTTTGAATTGGTACTACCACTACTACTAATAATAATAATGATAATAATAATAATAAGAAGAAGAAGAAGAATATTAATAATAATAATAATAATAATTGTAATGATAGAAACATGCAATAACTGTTACTGATTATCGATATAAGGTGATTAATGAATTATGTTTACATTAAGTTTATTCATATCTAATAAATCTTTTATTCTCATACACATTTACACCGTTACTCTATGATATTATGAAATCATCATCATCATCATTCAACGAAATACTGAAGATTATGCATACAAAAAGGTAGAGATATCTAATGAAGACAACCTTTGATTATGCATCCTTATTTTATGGTTGCTTCAGTAGATCAAGAAATAAAGTTCATAGATACATTTAAATCATCACTTCTACTTGGAATATTCATATGAAAATATGATTTAGTTATCAACTTAAATAAAGTTTAGACAAACGTGGTGATTTCCTTGCAAGTATACGAACATCGTTAAATTTATCGGATTATATGTTTAAGCTCATCCATTCGTTTTCAAATGTTCGATAAGAGTAGAGAAACACAGCATTTTAGACATCTTTCTTACTATTTTGTTTATGAATAATGGATATAATAGCGAAATCTTCACTGGAGATTTGATTTCGGGACCCAATCTTCACGACATCTATGTTCTTTTTCCGGTATATTAGGCTGCTCTTTACTGAGATGTTTATAGAAAGCAGATTTGGATAGATTTAGATTTTTGGAAAACGCCTAAAGTGTAAATTATAGTCTTATATTCAGAAAGCACCTTCTAAGTGAACTGAAAAATGCTTACTAAACAGTGAAAATTGGATGGATAACCTCCCGCTGACCATAGACGCTTCTTTGACCTCATTTGATTTTACTACATTTTGCTATACACTAATTTTAAAGCTTCGAATTATTTTATTATTTAATGTTTTGTGAATATTCAAGTAATTATTCCCACATTTTTTCTAGTCAGACATTTTACGAAGCTACTGATTTTTTCCCATAACTGGGAGTCATTAGTGGTAATTAAGAGTACATATTGCTTAAATTGATCTGACTGAACCGAAAAAAACCACATACAAGAATAGATACTGTTATAAAACTTATGAAAACTGTTGATTAATGAAAAATCAACATAAGGGTTATCAACAAAAAACAGCTTGAACAAATGGTATAAATGAATGCACGGAATATAGCAGCATAAAAACCTGAATCAACTGATTATGATTACTATGAGATAGCTATTTAGGTATCCGTATAGTGTATATCATTTGAAGTTGTTACAATTAAATTATTTGTTTCATATTAAACCAGTTTGCAGATTTAATATGTACTTGGAAGATTTCCATGGACAAATTTACTTCACAATTTCATTTGAAGCCAAAGAGAATACCCGTTGATGTTAAACGAAGAAACCAGGTAAACCACTTCGTAGAGTGATTAGGCAACAGCTTGCTTTTGTTGGGAAAACCCATCGACAGTGTTACAATATAATCATTATTCTATATGCCTCGATATTGTATTCACAATGCTTAGATAATAGGTGGTTGGAAACAATTATGAAGAGACCCTAGAACTAGGTCTCATGAAATTTTGAGATTTTTAGCAAATAATGTTTAAAATAATAAAGCATCTGATGGCTCATATTAGATCATCCGTATATCATTTAAATGTACAAGTACCACATTATCTTTGTTAGAGTACATCCAATCAATATTATATAAAGAGATAATACTAACAAAAGCTGCCGTTAGCTATTAGAAGTGATAACTTCAACTAAACTATGCATTAATTCAGTTATTTGATCAACCAAATAAATTTGTAGAAAACAATGGTATTAAACTAATGTTGAAATAACTTGGTAACTGCAAGTTATCATGCTCTTTGATTGTTTGAGTATTTAAAAATTCATTAAAAGGTCAAAATACACAAAATCGTTTATGTGATTTGTGTCATATGCAATTAGTTAGAGAAACGAATTGGCACTAAAATACTTCATTTTGAACAAACAAGTGAACAATAAAAATCGATGGCAATTACGTCATCCTTTTATATTTTGAATCGTACATACCGATATTTGACTGTTGTCAAACTTATGTTCAGTTTTCTTCCTAAACTGAAATTAGCGATAAATCTATTACACATGATCAAAATTAGATCTGGTTTCTTTAAACTTATCTGCAGACCAGTCATTCCAAATCATATGGTACATATTTATTCAACAGTGTCTATCCTCAACTTTCTATGGTCAAAACCGAAAGAGACAATCCCTATATGATCCCTGGTTGAAAATGGTTTCTCTTAGGATAACTGTTGAATAGCAAAAACTGTTTTTACATAGAATTATTATTTGCAAGCCACCTATCAAAGCAAATTATTTAATTTAGGTAGAAACATGAGTTTATGTAGCTGACGTGCTTGGTGTTTAAAATTATATATATATATATATATATATATATATATATATATATATATATTACCGTAAGTGACTGCTTCAAATAGATGTAGTATAACTCAGCATAGGGGTTGCTCATGTATTCGAACACAGTTTAAGGGAATCGTTAAGGCAGAAATCAACGAGAAGTGTAAAAATTATTAATGAAGGTTGGAAAAGAGTTAATAAAGAAGTGAACTTGCGTAAACTAGAAGTTTCTAAGAGTTAAAAATTTAATAACTCATGATTTAATCTTTCTTGACTATTTGATCAGATCTTGTCAGTGATTTAATCACTATGTAAGTTCATACAGTTTAGTTATTGGTTGGAAACCAGAGAATGCTTGTACCTGTTTCCTGAAGATTTCGCCGGTGTGTATCTAAAGTTTTATATTAGAAGGAACTTAAAATATCTATGTCTCTTAGATGTAACAATGTAACACGACTAACTAGTTGCTAATTGAGAGTTTGAATCTCCGACTTCTGTTAATTCATGACATAACAGAATGTGCGTTAATTAGTACAATTTAGTTTATATGGTCATGTAGTATATTTAGTTCAGATGATATTATTATTATTTGTCAATTGTAATTTTCTCTCTAATATATTTTACTTTGCTTATCTTATGGACACTAACTTGTATTCTTTCTGGTTTTGTTTAACTTATTTCAAATAGTTTTGTAGGGTAATAATCAGATGACAACAATAGATGAACATCTTTTTATATCATAGTGTTTACAGCTGAAAGTTTAGACCATAGGGTTACTATCTAATGATCTAAAGGAAATCGAAACTTAATACTTCTTAGATTCCAAATGAGTTGGTATGTATGTAATATGTCTAGTCCTGACAGCTTGAATATAAAAATGTGCCTAATCTTTTTTTTAGTTGGTATCAGTTTGTTATGATAATCTAATTGATATCAAAATAGAAACCATGAAAATATATACAACAATATTAAAACATTAAGAATGAATGATTATTTAAACAATCATGGTGCTTACCCAGATGTTTACCATAATATCTTTCTAAAATAAGTTGATTTGCTTTAGCTAAATCATCTAATGTAATCGGTTGAGTTTTTCGACGTATTACACGTTTTGGTTCAGTTGTTACACTAAATGGTTTACTTGTTAAACTTTGTTGTCCTTGTTGAAATCGTTGACTAAATAAACTTCGTTTCTCGTTCAAACTTAATCTGTAATAATAATAGTAATAATAACAATAGTATTAAAAAATAGTCGTCAACGTTGTGTTTTTGTTTTTTTCTTTCAAATTGTGAAAACTGTGAAACAAAAAATCAATTTTCAACATGTATGGATAGCACACTTACATTTTATTTTTGATTACAAATAGTTTGAATCAGTGAAATTCTTTTACAATAAAATTAAGTCTCCACTCATACTGGTGTGTTTGCATGTAAAGAGCACATAGATTAACACGTAATTGGTGAGTGGATAGATAGATAGATAAACACAGAAACCTATATACAACATTTTATCATGGTCATGAAATTTGATCGGATTAAAATTGGTAAAAATAATTTTAAAATAGGTTTTAAACTGCAGTTGTTTATATAGGCTAAATGAAATATGGTTAGTAGTGGAATCCAAAATGTTCATTTCGTTCCATTTGGAAATCACCATCTGGATGTACCTGCATCCTAGAGTTGGTGTTCACCATGAGACTCAAACTCAGTACTGTTTGCTTTAAACACCATCTCTTTATGCACTTAGTTACTGACTACGGATAGCCGCTCACTTGTACAACGGGTATGAGATTTAATTCAATTTAAAATGGTTTGTATTACCACGTTATTGACATTTTGGAACTAAATTTGATCAATCTTGCTTGGTATATAAGCATCCTGTGAGGACAAATCTCACGCTCTGGATTTTACTGCTAACCATATTCCATCTAGTCTATATTAATTTGTCTCATAATGGCTATATCGTGGTGATTCTCATAGGATGCCCATATGCCAACCGAGACTGATCAGATTTAATTCGAAAATATCAACGACAAGATAATTTGAACCAGTTCAAGTTGTAATAGTTTACTTTGTGTACTGAATTAGATGAGAGTTATATTATTAAATGTGTTTACTTGATTTAACTTTTGTGTTGTGTAATTTATAAATGGAATAGAGTTTCCCATGGTGACAGTCAACAGATTGGATAACTAAGAGACATATTTGTGCTCTGTTCTATCATTTGATTCGAAATCTGCTGGTCAAATCTAGATCAGTCCATATATTAGTATAATGTACGTTCGACGTTAATTGACTGACAGGGGGGATATAGAGATGCAACAGTTAAAAACCTAGTCTTTTATGTAAATTGAACTGTGATTTAAAAGGGGGGGGAAATCGGTAAACAGTTTAATGAATTGTATAAATTAGTTTTCCTTACTTGAAACAAGGTTTCCTTAATAAGTACATATGAATGTTATAAAAGAATACAAACCAAGTGTTACAAAGATAGGTTTTCCTCAATCATCTACTGAAACTGTACAATAGTACTTATTAACTAAGTAACAGATATAGTAGTCTACTAAATAAAAATAGAAAACTATTTTTCCCAAGAACATGTTTAGAAATTTCATTTATCACTATCTGATTATATAATGAATAGAAGGTTGAAATAGTTTACAGATCAAAAGTATAAAACTTAATTTATCATGTTTGTCGAAATTGATTATTTATTAATTGTAATATTAAATTTTGTTGCCATTTAATTTGAATTAAGCTCCCTAAAATTATGGTTATTTGACTATACCATGAATTTAAAGCAATTAGTCCCTTTGATAAATTTCGATAATGTAATAAGAAGATGAAGATTATCAGAACTATGCGGTGTATTAGCGCAATACATTTCGAACAATCTGGTCAACAAGTATATGTGTGATCAGATTGTTCGAAATGTATTGAGTTAATATATATCACACAGTTTTGATAATCTTCGTCTTCTTATTATACTGTGAATATTTTACTATACAATAGATCGTAATCACTATACTGTTTTTAGTGAATTGAGCAAAACAAATTGACTAAAACTCTTTTCATCTATTTAGCTAATCAACTTAAAGGGTAAACAGGTATAAATGGAATTCCATTTGATTAAAGTTTATAGTTTTATCTGTTATAGGATTTATAAGTAATAGGGTACTGGGTTCGAGTCCCACAGTGAGCATCAACTCTGAGATGCAGGTACATCCAGCTGACGAGTCCTAAATAGTACGAAACGTGCTTCCTGGATTCCAATGCTAGCCACTATCCATCATTGCTTATAATATTATTGATATAATTAATAATAATAATAATACATAGTAGTTGTCAATGAATGAACTAGAAATTTATCGAATGAATTTTATCATCACCGTATTCAATCAAAATTCTTTAGTTAATAACTGATCGTTAAAAATACCATACTTTCTAATATAATTAGTTTGTTCTATAGTTAGAATTTGATTTTGTCATGAATTTTTATGAAGCTGGATCAATTTATTCAAATCGAATGATTGGCAGATTAATATTTCAACCATAGAGACCGGATATACAATCGGGAACTGTTATCGATATTTTTATAAGGTTAGCTAATTCAAATTTTAGAGTATATTATAGATTATGATTTTTGTGATGAATTTAATAATCCCTACTTTGGGCGGTTGCTACGAATTCGAACAATTTGAATGAATGCATAATACACAGGTAATGATTAGATAAGGATTTTTAGATGTAATACAATTGAGTGATTGTAATTTATCGGAAATGTCCAGAAAAGTTGTATAATGAGTGAAATCCTTCTACATGACTCCTCGTAGTTTCACCATAGTAATTAGTAGATTTAGTCGTACACTTGATTTTCCGTTTAATATTGGACGTTGGTTATGACTTTACCTTATTAAAAATTTCTCCTTCAACTTATCGTCAATGACATCTGAAAATCCATGTTGAGTCAGCGACCCTATCATAATGTTGTCCAAAACTATTTATTTTATACGAATTCTTCTTTCTCCAATTTCCCTTGTACTTAAATGTAAAGACATACATAGTTTCAAAGATCCCCGCTACCAATATCAAACTCCAACTAAATATTACAATAGTTATGCACGCATTTAAAATTAGTGTGAAAATCTACTACAGAATTAATATAAACCACATAGATAGAGATATGGTTTATCTAGAGTCAATAAATGGAGGCTGGGCTTGTTTAAAAACTATTGAACTAATTTTGTACACAAAGGATACCTAAAGTATTACAAACTGACATCACATAGTGTTCCGCTAGGAAATGTTAAAATAGTACCGTTCAAGAATCAAGTTCTTTTATTTTAAAATACCTAAAATATATTCAAAAGTTAATTTTTGAATACTAAATAAATTAGATTTCACTTCAACCTAGAACAAAGAGAAAACCTTTGCATATGAGTCCAACAGAACAAAATGATGTTATACTGTTAATTTAAACTGTCTACTAACAAATGATGATAATAATTAATATGAAGCTGATTAAATATATATTCACTTTATAAGAATATCAAGAACCTATTGTAACAAACGATAACTTTTCTGGATAACTTAGTGGGAATGTCGAATAATTTTCTGGAAATTGGATCAGCTGGAAAACAAGTATAAAATAAAAACACCACTGTGGAGTTGTCGAAAACTTAATTTGATATCATGTTTAGCAAATTTAAGGTTTGCAGCTAATTCAAGATGGGTGCTTTTTCATATTAAGATACGTCAGTTGGATGTAATTTCTCACCAGTGTTGATGTTCAAAGAGTATAGTTTATATTATTATTTGTCAGGAATTTCGTTTTTATCTCATTTTATCAGTCTCTATCGACAAGTGAGTTTATAGGCGGTATATAAAACATTGATATATATTGATTTGATGAGTCTCTAATGCTCGGATACGTCCGTCTTAAATTTTATTTCTAGCCAATGTTCAAAGTGTTATCGGTTTGTAGAATCGGTTGATATGAAGTCCTCGTATCCCAAATGAAACCGATAAAATGATGTCCTGAAATTCAGCTACTCAAAAATACAAATCTTTACAAACAACAATAGCAAAACTTATCTAAAGAGCTACAAAGATTCTGTTTGCTATTATTTATTTTAATCAGTTACTCACTGTGTTGTTTTTAGCATTGAGCTATGTAGCTCACTGGTAAGAATGTTTAAGTAAATAGCAACATTGAACGTTTCTCAACTCAGTAAAAGACTAATGAAGTACTGTACATCGATTAATACGCATATATGTAAAGCTGAATCTACTTATATTAAAATAATTTCTAAGTACTTATAATATGATCTTTGTCTTTCTAATCAATTCAACTCCTAGTTCAGACACTAAATTACAGTCACGATTGAAGTACATTCTTCGAAAAGTCATGATCAATGTAAAAACAGTTTCATAAAAGTACGGAGGAAAAAAGAAGAATAAATAACAATACAATAAAGTGTTTCTCGTATTATTATTGTTTAAATGAATTGTATTCAAAGCACATTTTAATTAATGAATCATTCACGTCTTAACTATTAGATCGTTCTTTGAGACTTAGTTTTTAAAGTAGGTATAATTTTTACAGAAGAATTTCTGGTTCATCCTTTACAGTAAATTACTGGTACATTTGTTTACGCAAAATATTTCATATCTGTTGGCCTGACACTATCAGCAATGATCTGCTGTGGAAGAGAACAAACCAGATTCCAGCGGAAAAAGAAATAAGGAAAAAGCGCTGGAAGTGGATAGGACACACATTGAGGAAACCACCCAACTGCATCACAAGGCAAGCCCTCACGTGAAATCCTTGGAGCCAAAGGAGAAGAGGAAGACCAATGAATACATTACTCCGAGAAATGGAGACAGACATGAGAAGAATGAACAACAATTCAATAGAACTAGAAAGGAAGGCCCAGGACAGAGTGAATTGATGAATGCTGGTCGGCGGCCTATGCTTCATTGGGAGTAACAGGCGTAAGTAAGTAACTGATACATTGTAAATTATTAATTAAAACAGAACATATTGCTTCTGTTAAGCAATTAATTATCATTAATATTATTTCTAATAAGTTCAATTGTACTATTAATAATTAATCTATTTACCACGTGAATTCATTAGTTGTTTTTTCATTCACATAAATCATTTGATTATTCACAGTTTACTTAAATATATATCACTTATAAAATGTACTTTCATTATTGTGTATATTTCAATATCATAAATCAATGAATTACATAAGAGAATTTCTTTTTTTTTTCAAAAAAGAACCCTTGTGTGTACATAGATTAATGCTAAAATGTATATTTCCATAGTTTTATGGAATTCACTTATTATTATTATTATTAGTAGTAGTAGTAGTAGTATCAGAGAATTTAAAAAGAAAAAAGTTTGATTTTTCTGAAAAAAAAGAAGTTCAGAATACTCTATAGTCATTCAATGTACTTGTGCAAATTTATGTTATTATTAGTGGCATAGTTTAGCAAAACAAAATTCAATATACAATATGTAAGTACATGTATGTATAAATTTTATTTTCGAAACGAATTAAAATTAATTTATGGGTTTTATAGTGAAAAATCAACCGATTTTATCATCATCATCAATATTATCTGGTTGAGATCATATGAACTATCTTCTTGAGTTAAAAATACAACATTCTTTTGTTTTATAAGCAGTAGAATCCAGGACGCGCGTTTCGTCCTATTTGAGACTCGTCAGCTGGATGTACCTGTATCTCAGAGTTGATGTTCACTCATGGACTCGAACTCAGTACCTTTCGCTTCAAACGCCATCGCTTTATCCACTTAGCTACTGAGTGCTGATAGCCACCTGTTTGTGCAATAAGGTTAATTTTAAATTCACTTGGTGTTGTTTACTTGTATCTTCCCATAGTAAGATACAAGTAAACAACACCAAATGAATTCATTTTCTTGTCTTCATCCAATATAAAGAATACATCTTTAAGAATCTTTTGAACGTTTTCAGATATTTGAAGAGGCATAGTTAATTCTCTCCATAATTTTATATTCAGATATTAATTAATAGATTTATATTGTGATTGATAAATATACTATAGATATAAAGTAAACAAATTGATCAAGAGATCAAATAACTCAAGAAGGTAAATTGTTACAAACAAATTTAGTAGAATCTTTGAAACATACAATATAATCAAAAAACGGTTTTACACAGCTTCCCTTAACAAATCTTCTGTATGTAGAAAATTAGATTTTCGATTTATTGGGATATTACAAACATATTACTCAATACTCAATTTATTCGAAACCTTCTGTATGTTCTGATCGTTGAGTTAGATTTTGTATGATTGATGCACAGCATGTAGAAAGTATATAATTTAATTAACAGACATTTAATATGCAATAAGAAAGAATATCTGGATTTAAACTAACTGATTTTCAGTGTGATCCTTCTCTTATAGCTACCAAATATTTCAAAACTTCATATATCAGATATTCAGAAAAAATGAATCCTTATACAACATTTTATATCAGTCATTTACTTTTACTATGACTGGGGTGTAATTCTAAAATCATTTCCTGTAGTAAATTACTGAATATTTTTCTTAAAATTAAGTCTCCCAAGCTGTTAGGTATGAAATCAACCTAACAAAATGTTTGAAATTTTGAGATATTGGTTTCATATTCAAGTTTCAGTCTAACATTAATTAAGTAGAAATGGAAAATATAATAGACAGAAGCATTACTTGTATTTAAAATTTTCATTGTCATTCCGATACTACTTAATAGATCACACTTATTAGTTGAATTGTAAAACTCTGTTTTAATGATTTCAAATGGTCATTTATTACGAATAGATTATAGATAAATTATTGAACAGCATCACGTATCAGACAGATAACCTAATGATAGGTAACATTTCTGGTTGATTGGCTGAAGTTAGATATTAGCACCGTGAGACGCCGGTTTAATGGTCTATCGGTTAAGTGCTCTTGCGCGAGACTGATAGATCCTGGGTTCAAATCTCGCGAGGCAGGATCGTGAATGCACCTTACTGAGGAGTCCCACAATAGGACAAAACGGCCGTCCAGTGCTTTTAGGTTTTCCATGGTGGTCTAGTTTCAATTGACTCATGAACTCAACTATATAAAATTACTAAAATCTCCACAAAACCCCCTTCCAATATAAATTTACTGTGTTCAGAGTTTTCTACCGAATTTATTGAATCTAATCAGAGTGAACATATATTTCACTTATCGATAAAGTCTATATAATTATGTTGACAAAAGAAATATGATGAATTAAGGAGTAAACTGTAAATACTAAATGGTAGCAGAATGTTAAACCAATGATATCTCTATGAGTCTCATAGTTAAATCAGAAACTTGATAACGTTATAGCAACCACTGCTGAATGATTAACTAGTGGAAATAACTTAATCCTGAGGGGGGTTATATGTCTCCAACTTTAAAATCGGATTACTCGGATTCAAATAACACATGACTACCTGGTGATTACTTTTTATTCACCTAACACTGATTAATCAGTACCCTGAAAATAGATTATCAAAGTGTTTTGTAAATATGCTTAACAAGTAATGGAACAATTACACTTTGACTAAGTGCTAACCTGAAATTTTGTCCAAAATACCAGTATAAATAGTATCAATAAGAAAATGATCTAGTAAACAATTGACTTTGCTGTTAAACAGACATTGACCTGACCTTAACTGATAAATAACTTTCATGGATTCCTTGATGGACAATTTTTCAATACTGATAACTAAAATTTGACGGATGAACTGTCCGCTGTTGAGAATTACATATATAAATGCATTTAAAACATCAGTATTTCATTTTTATCAGCGTTGGGGTAAAATAGCTAAAATGTTCAGTTATTTTGTCAGAAATGTAAATTTTAAAATTATTCATTAACAGTAGGCTAGTGATTGAATGACCTGAGTTCAACATTACAAAACACTACAGTGAATTAAGCATTCACTAAAAACGTGAACTGAAAAACATATACTTTTATTATTAGTAACTAAGCTACATATAAGGGCAATAGTGAAAGATTTAATTGAGTTGTAAATAATCGTCATGTATGACGATATTTTTACATCTCAAATAATCGGTACTATCATCTAGAATTTGAATGAATGGAAGATATGTTGTCAGCTTTAGTTTTTTAAATTATCTATCCATGAAAATGTTTCTTATCATAGGTTATTAGGCCTTCATGGTACAACACTTAATCATTGATATAAGCTGGATACATTGTTATGAGAAACCTCACAACATCAAGTTATCACTCTTTTCATTTTAAATCATGAATTAAGTATTATACGAATGATGTCTACACTAGTCTCAATCTGATAAAAATCAGAGCAGCTTAAATTATTTTCAAGTATTTCAATGAAACAATTTAGCAGTAACTATATATATATATATATATATATATATATATATATATATATATATATATATATATATATATATATATATATATAATGGTTGGACACCGGGTTGAAAGTAGCTCGACGTTAGGGTCATAATGGTTGTTCATTGGTAGAAAAGATCATTGGTTCCACAGCCATAGAGAGGATTAATCAGATTGAACAATATCACTGCCCCTCTAATAACCTCCCAACACTATGGGTTCCAACGCAATACACATACCAGTACTTTCGGAACATATGACAAAAGTCTGATTGTAAACTATCATGAAGGATTAGCCTAATCTGTAACTTAAATGGTTATCCATTCAAATCTGAAAACCAAACAGATTTCAATAACTTTTCACTACTATTGATGTTATTGAGCATCTAAGTTTGGAAGTTGATGTGATTAAAACGGTAAAAAAGTATGAATAGCTCACCTGGTTAATTCATCTCCGTTTGATTGTTGTACTCCTTTGACTGGAGCAATTTTTAAACTTGAATTGACAATGTTTACACCTTGGGAAGTTTTAATTGCTGGTTGGATCACTCCCGTTTGTACAGATTCTTGTTTGATTCTATGTAAGTTTACGCTAGAATGAGGTCTTCTTGGATTTACATGATTTGGCCTTAAATTCTGAAGAGTTACAGAAGTGACTGATTTGTTTGTCAAGTTAGTAGACTTAGGAGAAGAATCTGGTTTTTGTAGATTATTTTCACTGAACTTCACTTGCTTTTTTTTACAAAGTTCTTGTAGTTCTGATTTCACTTCTGGACTTTTTTCTGTTTGTTGGCCTAAAGATGCACCAATATCAAACATTTTTACTCTATCTTCAACTGGTACTAAGTCTTGACAGTCAACTAAATCTTGATCGATGAAACCAGAGGTAGAGTAACGTTGTGTTTCACGATAACCACTTGATTGTGCTAACAGCCATTGCTTTGCACGTTCAGCCACAGTCATTATGGATGGATCAGTTTCTTTTAAATGTGTTCTTTCTTTAGAAAATCCGGTTGATAAACCGGCATGATCTGGTTCACTTGATGCAACAGTATAACCTCTCGTCAACTGATGAGCTGACCGACAATTCACAGGGCTACTTTCTAAATTAGAAGAGAATTCAGACGTTTTTAGTAAAGATGGGTCTGCAGCTTGTTGAAACTGTGTTGCGGCTGTTAATTTGCACGCGCTGAGTGGTCTGGAGTTCCGACGTTTCAGTTGTTCATAATAAGCGCTTATTGAAGAAACTTCTTGACGTTGATCAACCGTGTCATTGTTATCAGCTTTCGATTTCCCTAAATATTCATTTGTCTCATTTTTGCGAAGATTGGGTGGTTCATCTGTTGATGCTTTTCGGGATCGGAAGATAAAACTGGATGGTTTAAGTTTTCTAGGCTCTCGCCCACCAGTCAGTCCACTGTGATGACTATCTTCCATTTGGCCACCAGGTTCACATGACTCTGATTTGTCTAAAAACCTAAGTGTTCTTGGAGGATTTCCGATTCTGGGTGCTGATTTCTGTGGTTTATCGCTTGAAGAGTTCTGTATGGGTTGTAAACCGTTTGAGCATCCGATCGGCTCTTGATTGCCATTGGATTTGTCTTCAGTTTTACTGTAAGAAAATGGTAAGCTTCGGCTTTCTGTATCATTCGGACAACACAGATTTTGTAAACTTTTATCTTCTTTCTTTGTGTCGGCGGAAATACTTGATTCAGGGACCAAAACATTTTGAGGTTCTGAAGGTTGGCAGTACGTTCTTGTAACTGACAAAGGAACTGAGTCAATGTTCGAATTATCCGGTTTTTGTGTTGGCAAATTGATGGAAGATGTCATATTTGTACTTGGTTTACTACTAGAGCTCATATTTACCGACTGAAAAAGAGCTTGTGTATTGAATGCACCGGAAAGGATAGCCTTCAAAATTTCTGGGTCAACTGTAACTATGGTGACTTGCGGCTGAAGAACAGTGGTACCAGGTAATAACTGAGACTGGTGGACTGGCTGCGTTGATGGACCACCAACTCTTTCTGAAGTCTGTGAGTAAAGAAAAGGAGCTATATCAGGAGTAAGGATATAACTTTGTGGAATAACACCTGGTTGGCTGCTAGTATCTCCAATATTTGTGACTGTTGGAGGAACCGTTAACATAAATTCGCCTACATTATTAGCGGGATTATATGAAGATGAGTTATAGCAACTCGTTTGGTTATTCGGGGCCGATGAGTGAACCTGAGATGAAGCCACAGTATTTTGTGGAAAAGTCCACCCACTAGAATGTAGAGAGTGAATATGTTGAACTGGTTGATTTATTGTTTCTTGTGGCTGTGATGACTGTAGACGTTGTTGCTGATGGTGAAGCCATTGCGGATAATCCATTTGGGTTGTCATTTGGTGTGAATATTGTAAATCAGGTTTAAATTGTTTATTAACAGTTGAGTTTTCAGAAATACCAGGGAGTCCAGAGTCTGTAATTTAATTATTTAATATAAAAGACAGAATGTAAACCAATGTAATGGGAAATCAAAGCTTACAAGAAAACGTTAGTAATCATGAAACCAAGGTTGATTTATTGATGTGTTATATAAGTATTGATGTTCGAAAACGACTGTTAGGAATTGTCTTGATTTATACTAACAAATAACATTCTCGGACTCAAAACTCTTAGTACTCTCAAGTTTTAAATCTGCCTCAAATTACACTAGGACACAATAAGTATTATTTAGTTATATCGATTACGAATAACTTCATTGAACTTCACAATACAGAATGTCTTTTATCCTGAAGTATTTTATATATATTACACAGGTTATACAGTTCTGAAACAAAGTCTACAAATTTTTTCAGGACTTAATAAAAAAATCCCTATATCCCATTACGTTTTGGAAAACTAGGTATTTTAACTAAATTATTTAAACAGCTACTGAACGTTGCAATTGGTTGTTTGATCATTTTATACAACTTTTCCTAGCAGAACAAACGGATGAAATTTTAAGATGTTACTTACATTGCAATACTGGGTTAGAAGCAGGTACGGATTTGTGTGAATTTCTGCCTAAAGACGAAGTTCTTTGCAACGAGGAGTGAACAAATTGACCTTCTGTACCAACTGCATATCCTGTATTGCTATTCAGTTGTTTAGACTCCGGTGGTTGTGATAGCCCAGCTCGTTCAGAATTCATATTTTGTTCAATAAAACCGTGGTCATTTTTTGATTTTGGTAAGTACATTGAACCTGGTCTATAAATCGATGATTTTGTTGATGGGGTATCAGACATTGAACTTTCAGTCAGTTTTACCTGTCTTTCATTAAAATTTTGCCGTCTTAGACTACTTGTTTGTAGTTCCTTGTGCATATCTTTAAGTTGAGGTCTTGAAGCATATGTGAAATCAGCTGTTTGATCTACTGATGGACCAGTCTTGGCAATAACAGAATTTAGAGGTCTTGGTTGGTTAACTGTTGCTAAGGCCATTTTCATAGTTTTTTTAAATTGTGAAGTTGTATCAGTAGGCAGCTGTTGTTGAGTTGTGTTTTTCTCATTCGTTTTGAAAGCATTTCGAAAATCATATCCAAATGACGGAACAGAAAAGTTGTGCTCATGTGGTTGGATGATTTGTCGAAATCTAGGCAGGAAAAAGCATTAAAAATATATCAATTTCTTTATAAACTACAACAGATTAATCTGTAATTTTCGAAGGAATCCCTTTGTTCTAATCTCAGTGAAATTACGGCTGAATGAACCAAAGATGAACTGCATAATCATCGAAACGTTTTTATTTGACTTTAACAATAAACATCCATAGTATTGATTCCTAAAACAACACTTTCTAATCACAGTTCATATGAGTATACACAAATAATGATTTATAAAAAGACATACTAACACTATTCTTTTTAAATGTTTTATAAAAATACATTACTCATGGGGTATTTTAGCGGAAATCTTTATTTCTAAACTGTTTATGCATGTTTAACTCAACGATTCGATCCACAAATTAGCCAACCATATGATAATCATTTTTGCTTCACGATGTGAAATCATTCAGAGAACTACTGAAAATTTAAATATATACCCAAACAATTGTTTTACCCTAGTTTAGAAGATACATCAGCAACCATAACTTCACGTAGGGTGGAACTAAGAACATAGAGAGCGAACAACGAATACAGTCCAGCCTGAAGTAATAAAAACAGCAAGAATAATAATGGTTATTCAATTCGCTTGGTGTACGAACAGTTTTTTTTCCTTTTAGTATATCTCTGGTGTAAATATTCACATGCCTTCTTGACATTTATCCACATCAGCTAATAATATTTGTTTACACATTTCATTGAATATATATAGAATGTAAAATATTCTCAGTAAAGCAATACCATGTAAATATAAAAAGTAGTCTTTATATTTATTATTCGATCCAGAATGCAAATGTCATGAGAAGTAATTCATTTATGAATGATACCTACATAAATAAACCATTTGATTAGATTAATTGTTTGTTGCATTGATAAATTAGTTGTTAACCTAATATCAATCTATCAAACAGTAATAGACTTCAAACCAAGGATCTTACAGTAACTAAGTTAAAAATAAATATACGCAGATGGAGAATGGGAAACAGTATAGGAAGGAAGGCTGATATGAAGCAATTTTAATCTCAAGGTTTAAGGGAAGATAAAGAGTGTATACACCTACGTCATTGTGATTGATTCTCAGCCATGTCACCCAGAGTTAGTTTATTCTGAAAATTGTATAACTGTAAGAAGTTGCTAGTTATAAGTAGAATTATGAACGGTAGATATTTATTTTATTCATTTATATAGAATATTTTTTAAATCACAATTGATTGATCACTGGGTGGTGATCAATGTCATGTGTGTCAAGTCCTTTTTAGTGCAGATCGAATGCTATCTATCAAGTTGCAATGTGTTCGCTAGTCTAGATGACTTGACACTGCCTGCACTATGTTGAGTTAAAATGGTGGTTAGAGTATAATCAACTGTAAATGATAAAAAGGTATATGAAATATTTTATTATAATAAATACACATGATGGTATGTTGTAAGAAATTGAAGCATTCATGTAAACATTAAATTGTAGATAATCAAATAGTTTGAAATATATCGTGAACATATTCATTAAGCTGAGTATTCACTCATATTAAATGAATTATTCATTACAATACTCAGATATTTTTTTTAGAAAAAACTGAGAAACTATCAAAGTCAACATTACAATCAAACTTGGTGGCCTGCGTGAATATCTGGTCTACCTGTTCCTGCTATCTAGATATTTCAACAAGTTATCTACTTTTGTGTGTTTTAATATATCATTATGTTTATTAATTGCATAATTTATTCAGGTGTGTTTCTGAAAAGCGTACAATCTTTCTTTTCACAAGTTACAAAAGGCCTAATCAGAGATATCCTGGTTGCTAGCAATATGTAACACACAGAAATAGATCATTTAGATTAACTAGACTAATCAGCTTAAAAAAGGGGAATAAAATCACCAAGCACCATACGTTCTTGAATTACGGCTTCAAAAGCTTTATTTTTCATAGATTTATTCTTACTGACCATCAATCAGCTGGTAACTCACTGTATGAACAGAGAATTCTAATATGATGGTATTGTGTACGAGATCTCAGATGGGGAAAATTAATTTTTCTGAGGCTCAACAAAATATGGAAATCATACGTTAAATACATTGTTTTCACATCTCCATTGCGTTGTCCTTTACATTCTCCATTATTACTCTAATTCTGTGTCATCTTAGCGCCCTCCGATTTGCTTCCTTTACTCTTCATTTCAGTCTTCTGCTGGCAGGCATTTCACTTGCTGCTATATATTACTTATATCTGTCAGCATAAGTAGTATACACCATAATGGTAACCAAACAATATGACTAAAATAATTGACCAGTCAATAATGAGAATAAGATGAGTGCTTATCATTTATATTAATAAGAAATAGTTACCTTAAAAATGTGTTATGAATGTTAAGGCTGCTGCATTCTAGTGGCATCCTCGTGGTAAAAAGAGAACGGAATATGATAACGTGGTCATTTTCAAACCACTGATATTAACTAACCGTTCACAACATAGAATTAAAAGAAGGGGTTAGTGCTTAATCATATAGATTGTTATAAGTGGAGAGTGAAGTTTAAAAATTTCAAAACTCTGGTAAATCTTTTTTTAATATTTACATCAATTTATTAGAATCTCATAATATTGAAACTGTGAATATACTGATTACCTGTGCACCAAATGAATCAACATCAAAGGCGATCCTAAACCAGATGATATCTATATTGACTAGTGGGTAGTATGAACGAATGAGAATAAATGCCATTATAGACCTATTTCTTGCACGAAAGAAAAAGAAACCGATATAGCCTAGTTTTTAAAGTATATTCTTGAGAAATGATGTAATATTGTAGGGATTCTTTATAGTAAAACCCAAACGATTGTATTATTTTGATGATTGTTGTCTGGCGGCTGTATATTTTTTCTTTAAAATTAAATAGCCTCACGCTATATAGTGCTCTTAGCACTAACTAAACATTTGAAACTTTACTTTTCACACTTGTAAACGGAAAATTACTTTCATAATAAGAGAATATACCTCCTCAATCTTTTATAGACCACGTAAAATCAGTTTAATGCCATATTGAATTTACGTCCAGCTAGCAACCATTTTACAATTGTAATGAGGATGTCATGACTTGAACCGGTATGCACATTAACTGAGTTCTGTATTGTATTTGACTGCATCACTGACCCATATACTTTCCAATGAACTAAAAACATGCCATTCACATTCTATATTCCGAAAACGCTATTTGAGAGCAGATCTCCCGTTAATATACATTTCCTTTTCAAAATGTTTTACCAGTTAAAAACCTTTTATCAAATTCAAATTAGTATCTATTTTACATGTTATTCAATTTCATTAGCCATCAATGATTAGAATTATTCCGTTTTAGAAGTTGATAACGCTTATATTGATCATACTTTATTTAATATGATTTCGATTGATGTATAAACGTGGTTTGTAATGTCATCATGACATTAACACAGTTGGATGCCGGCTCAGTGGTCTAGTGGTTAAGTGCTCTTACGCGAGACTGGTAGGTCTTGGGTTCGGATCGTGGATGCGCACTGCTGAGGAGTCCCATAATAGGACGAAACGGCCGTCCAGTGCTTCCAGGTTTTCCATGGTGATCTAGCTTCAAATGACTCATGACTTCAACTATGAAAATACTGAAATCCCCACAAAACGTCTTCTGAATGTCATACATATTAAGTGACAAGTAGTATATATATCAGCATAAAGAATAATATATTTTTGCAGTGACCTTTCTTCGGGATATATATATATATATCAACCAGACATGCCAGAGAGTACTTTAAGCATATAGGGGGGGGGATCAAGTTTTCTCTACCCAAATGTTTATACTTAAACGAATGTTGTATAAGATTAAATGTTCAAATAACCATAAATTGACTACTATCCACGTTAGTTTATTCATTTATTTTGTGTTTAATGAAAAACGGAAACAAAATTGAACAAAAAATGCAAACAAACAATTGATTAGTTCAGTAATATAAATGTGAAGTGAATCAATTAAACAACAGAATAACTTTTATTTTTATTTTCTCCAACTATCATATGACATAAAGAAAAACTTGTATCATATTGTTTAAAGAAAATTATCAATTACTGAGTAATATTACATAGAAACATATGAAACTGATTATATTCATAAATATAATGGATACCCTTAATGATTTATGATAAAATTAAGATATATTGCCAACATATTAACTAGATCAATGTTGTTTCAAACGAATTATGCATCACCAGGAATTTCAACATATTCATATAATTTTTGTGTTATGCATTTTAAATTTATCGAAGATAGATCTTATCACTAGATAGATAATATTAAAAACATTTTATTGATTGATTTCATTGTAAAATGACATGACAACTGAATACAAAATAATAATCAGTGAAATTCTAAAAACTCGAGGCTTTTATTATTTGAAATGTAGCTTGTCTTCACAAGTTTTATCATAAAGAGAATGGTATGTTTGAAGTAATAAGTAGGAGGATGTAAATTATTATTCAGTTGTTAGCAGCGAATACTGTTATGTATGTGAGATACTTGTTTTAGCTGGGCAAATATATGAGATGTTGGTTTAAGGTACCTGAAAGAAAATCTTCGGACTAGATTTCTCACTATTCACTGATAGTCAGCAATGCTGTACTGCAACTTGATCGATAAGATGCAATCAACACAAAAGAAGAGCTTGACATGTATAATACTGGTCACTATTCAGTGATGTAAATGCACACATATATATACACGTTAAGTATGGAATACTGAATAGTGTAATTGTCTTATCTGAGTTTGATTAGAGAGATATTTCTTCTGCTAGACTAGTTATTTCACTGACTGGTAATTAAATGCAAGTTGTTCGTCAATACTTTCCACAGCAATTGTTTGCACTATATGACTTTTCTTTTATAACGGTAACATTCAAACAATTAGAATGGTCAAGGGAGATATATATTTTTCATTAAACACGGAATTATTTATTGGAAAACCTTGGTAAGG